CATCCTCAGGTAGTGTAGATTCAAGTTTGTTAAAATGATGACCTCTGGGATAGGGAGGAGCCACAGTGGTAGATCAAATTTTTACAAAGGAATATATGGGAAAACTTTCAAGTTCTTCTCAAGTACAACAAAGCCATTACAAAGCCATTTGTTATACTGACATGTAAGCATCATCAGGTAGTTTAAAATTCAAGCCCAAGCCCCCCCCCCCCCCCCCCCATAATCTTTTCAATACTGAACTGATTTGTGCTTTTGTCTAGCCAATGTGCTCAGGTGAGCGATGTGGCCCATGGGCCTCTTGTTTCAAATTTAACAACTTCTTGTAGGTTTATTTTATCAAAACAAGGTCCCTGTATCTTCAGTATCCCTCCTTTAGTTTGCATGGAGACTTTTCCACTATACTCACACTACTTAAAGGATATTTATTACATACTGGTATTTAAACTAGCAGTATTTGACAGACCACCTACTTATCAAGGGGGCATAACTTCCCTATCCAAAGAGGGAATAACTATGCATACATTGTTTAGTGGGCTTTTTCTTGCAGGTCTGTGTCAGAGTTCATCAGTACCTGGTTTACTGGTGACAACCTCTACAGACAAAACAATGAAGATTTGGGACGTTCAGGACAACAAACCATCGACAGTTCTGGAACGAAATCTTAAGCTGGTAAGCATTTCAGCCAAAAAATTAACCCCCTGTACAATTTAAATCTTTCTGTTAAAGGATTTTAAATTTTTTTTCTTCATATGCATGAACATTTACATTTATATTGGTCATTTAATAAGATATATATGCACAGTAAAACCTGCTTATAATGAATTCTATTAAAAAGAAATCCTGGATAATGAATTCTATTAAAAATAAATTTCGATTTTTAAAAAAAAATTAAAACTCTGTCACATGGAATATTATTTAAACACATTCTTACATAAATAAAAGAAATTCTGATATAAGGAATCAAAGACTTTCAAGGCAGTTTTACTGTTAGTGTATTTTCTTTATAAATTGCTGTTGTACAGGATTTTATTTGAATTATTGGAATTTTTAAGCAAATGGAAGGCATGGTATAAAGGATGTGAAAGTAATATAGAAAAAAAATGTCCTCATTGTTTGTACAATTTCTTGTATGTGTATTTGTAGAATCAGCTGTTTTGTGTGGATGCTTGTCCAGAAGCACCATTTGTTTTTGCTGTTGGTGGAGAAAAAGAAATTAAAGTATGGGATATAAGGGAAAGTGCTACAGGTATATATTTGATTAAGATTTCAGTAATACCTTTTTGATTTTCACGGTGTTGCTTTGGTTCCTAAAAATAGAATAATCTATTAAATTCATACAAAATTCTTATCCATCTAAGTTTTTGGTTAGATTTGAATAAAACTGGGTGCAGGTTTAGAAAATATCAAGGTACATAATTCAGTAAATGTAAAACTCAAAAAGGTACAAGTCCAAGAGTAACAGTGGACTATTATGAATTCATTGTTTTATACATGTACATTGTTATACATTTAAGGAATGAATTTAATGGCTACCCAAGTTATATTGTATAACCTGGGTTGGGGCAGTTTACACTTTATAAACCACAAAATGGTTTATAAAAAAGTGAAACTGTTCCAACCCAGGTTATACCAGTATAACTTGTGTAGCTATTAAATTTATTCCTTATAATTTAATTTTCCATCATTAAGCATAGAAAATAAGGCAATTTATCCTTCAAAAATGCCTTCAAATTGTACATATTTTAAATGTATCATCAAGCGGATTGATCCGTTTTTGACATAAGTCATTGTGACGTAGGCAACACAAGTTATACAATATACACTCATTTTTTTAGCTCACCTGAGCTGAAAGCTCAAGTGAGCTTTTCTGATCACCTGTTGTCCGTCATCCGTCTGTCCGTCCGTCCGTCTGTAAACTTTTCACATTTTCAACTTCTTCTCAAGAACCACTAAGCCAATTTTAACCAAACTTGGTACAAAGTATTCTTGGGTAAAGGGGAGTGTTAATTGCTAAAATAAAGGGCCAAGTCTCCTTACAAGGGGAGATAATCAAGAAAAGACAAAAATAGGGTGGGGTTATTAAAAAATCTTCTTCTCAAGAACCACTGGGCCGAAAAGCTGAAACTTATGTGGAAGCATCCTGGGATAGTGTAGATTCTAAGTTGTTAAAATCATGACCCCCCGGGGGTAGGGCGGGGCCACAATAGGGAATCCAAGTTTTACATTGAAATACATAAGAAAAATCTTTAAAAATCTTCTTCTCAAGAACCACTGGGCCAGAAAAGCTGAAACTTATATGGAAGCATCCTGGGGTAGTGTAGATTCTGAATTGTTCAAATCATGACCCCCGGGGGTAGGGCGGGGCCACAATAGGGAATCCAAGTTTTACATTGAAATATATAGGAAAAATCTTAAAAAATCTTCTCAAGAACCACTGGGCCAGAAATACTGAAACTTATATGGAAGCATCCTGGGGTAGTGTAGATTCTGAATTGTTCAAATCATGACCCCCGGGGGTAGGGCAGGGCCACAATAGGGAATCCAAGTTTTACATTGAAATATATAGGAAAAATCATTAAAAAATCTTCTTCTCAAGAACCACTGGGCCAGAAAAGCTGAAACTTATATGGAAGCATCCTCAGGTACTGTAGATTATAAATTGTTCAAATCATGACCCCCGGGGGTAGGGCGGTGCCACAATAGGGAATCCAAGTTTAACATTGAAATATATAAGAAAAATCTTTAAAAATCTTCTTCTCAAGAACAACTTGGCCAGAAAAACTGAAACTTATATGGAAGCATCCTGGGGTAGTGTAGATTCTAAATTGCTCAAATCATGACCCCTGGGGGTAGGGCGGAGCCACAATAGGGAATCCAAGTTTTACATTGAAATATATTGGAAAAATCTTTTAAAATCTTCTTCTCAAGAACCACTGGGCCAGAAAAGCTGAAACTTAAGTGGAAGCATCCATTGTTCAAATCATGACCCCTGGGGGTAGGGCGGGACACAATAAGGAATCCAAGTTTTACATTGAAATATACATGTATAAGAAAAATCTTTAAAAATCTTCTTTTCAAGAACCACTGGACCAATAAAGCTGAAACTTATTTGGAAGCATCCTGAGGTAGTGTAGATTCTAAATTGTTCAAATCATGACCCCCGGGGGTAGGGCGGGGCCACAATAGGTATATTAAAAGGGGGGAAATCTGGTAGATAACAGCATGGCCAAAGCTACTCAGGTGAGCGATGTGGCCCATGGGCCTCTTGTTATCCAATCAAATGACATGTTACAACCAAAATAAAATTATTGTAATATAATGCTCTTCTCTGTATTTCAGTGAGAAAACACTTTGCCTCTAGAGCACCTGTTGGTGTAACCATGGAAGGAGATGGTGATGTTAAGGAGGAGATGGAGGATGCCATGAGTGGGATGATGATAGATAAGGAAGAAGAGGAAGATGTCCAAACCCTGCTGGGAGAAGGGACCACAGATGTCCTCGCTGTCAAAAAGAAAAAGAAGAAGAAGAAACGGAAAAAGCAATCACAGAATTAATTTGTCATTTGTTTTTTTTTTTACTTTCGGGAGGGGTGACGTGGGGAATGGTTGGGAAGGGGGATGTTAAAGTGAGCAGCTTTAGCTGTGTTGACATTTTAATTGCTTTAGGTTACCTTGTTTTTTGTACATGGACCTCACGTGTAAAGATTAAGAGTTCCCTTATAAATCTAGGCTTGTGAGAATGTTGATATAATAAAATACTCTATACACTTTAGTCATTTTTTTTTCTATGTAAAATAAATAGTGCTGTCAATTTGGAACCAGTTACTTGTTTACTTTTCTGATCGGATACCTGGTTACTCAGATAGTTTTTCTTTAGACCTCTAAACAAAGTCAAATGCAATCAGATGCACTGTACATGTATATGGGTGAATTCAAAAATAATGACCACCAAATTGAAAATTTTTGAAAAAATTCAACTACCTAAAACCTTTTTTCACTTATATCATCATATTGTAAACACATTCTAGTTAAAATTCCTGAAGTTGCAATAGAATAGACAATTGGATAAAAAAGTTTCAGAATTATTTTATAAGTAAAACTTTATTCGAAAAAAGAAAATATCACTACATCCTATTATAAAAGACTTTCCAAAATACATAATAAAAAGAAATTGTTTTTTTATGTTTCAAAATGGTATCAGGGATACAAATGATAAGATCTACACCTTGATTGAATTTCTTCTGTTGTATATATGGGAAAAAATTGGCTTTTTGATTGTTATTTTACATAATTTTTTAGCTCACCTCAATGAAGTTGGGGGCGCCTATGTAATACCCTCGGCGTCGGTGTCAGCATCCCAGGTTAAAGTTTTTGGTGCAGTTTTCTTATTAAGTACTTCTATGCCCTACATTAATCAGAGATGCATGGAGGATGCTTCTAGTGTGTTTCATTGTACCATTCAAGGTTTCAGATGCTGCAATTTCAGCAATTCCAAAGGAATGACCAGGTTAATGGTTTTAGAGCAGGTTAAGGTTTTTAGAGCAGGTTAGTTTTTGGAGCAGGTCCCATTTCCAAGTAACTATAAGCCCCATGTTGACCAAACTTGCATGGATGAAACATTTAAGGATGCATACTACCTGGCTTGCTTCGGATGCTGGATCTGATCTACATTTTCTGGATGAGTGACCAGGTGAAAGTTTTTGGGGCAGATTCATTCTAAAGTAACTGTAAACCTTATGTTGACCAAACTTGCATAGATGATACACCTAAGGATGCACACTACCTGACATGCTTCGGATGCTGGATCTGACCTACATTTTCCAGATGTGTGACCAGGTTAAAGTTTTAGAGCAGGTTCATTCTAAAGTAACTATTTGCTGTACCTTGACCAAACTTGCATGGATGATACATCTAAGGATGCACACTACCAGGCTTGCTTCAGATGCTGGCACTGACATTCATTTTCCAGATGAGTGACCAGGTTAAAGATTTTATTTTGTGTTCTCTGCAGTCATAAACGCATTGACTCTAAACATCTGGTATTTAAACTGCCTCCACTATGTCAGCAGCGGCCATGATAAGGTTTTCCCCATACTGCTCCAATTAAGCAATCAAAATCAAATTTAACTGCTGTTATCAGCAGTGCAATGTTATAAGATGCAGTTTTTCTTTTTATATGAGAGGAACAGTTTTATTTATAGAAATTAAAATTCTGACCAAACGTTCCCTTTAAGTTACATGTACATGTTTGAATACCGGTACTTTGCTGTAATGTCTTGTTGTTACGAATTTCCAGCTAAATAAAACACATTTTACAATACTCTTCCATTGTATAAGTCTGATATAAACAATTACTTCTCAAATATAATCAATAAAATAATAGCTGAATATAGCTTATACTTGAAAAATTTCTTGAAGAAGAATAAATGGATAACTTCAAGTGGTATACAATATGTTTCAAACACTGTACATGTATTTAAAAAGTCTGAAAAGATAAATGAATTAAAAGTATGAATCGTAAATGTAAACAGGTAATCATCATTTAAGCTGACTAGACACATCCCTGTTGGTCCTTCTGGACATTATGCCATTCCAATATGTAACATTAACACAGTTATTATTTATAAAGACATTTATGATTTCATTCAGTACCTAACACACCAGTCACTATCCTGTCTACATTAAATCTCCTTTATCCAGCTCGCTTGGGGTTCTTTGCCCCAGCTCTGATTTTTGTTTTACAGGATGGACACTGGTTCAGGTCTAGCAGGCATTTGTCACAACAGGTGCACTGACAAGGGTGCAATGTGAGGCTGTTTGACGATTCGGTTCTTTTACAACCAACACAGGCTCGAGTCCCAAAGTCCACTTCATCATAGCCCATTGGTTCATTGGAAGTACCTAAAATGACCTAAATTATCACAATTCTGATATATGGTGCATGAATGTTTGAACATTGAACATATATTTCACACTGAGAACATATTAAAATACAAATATTTTTTTTTATTCGTATTTATTTCACTCTAAATTTCAAGTAACAAGGTCAAGAAGTAAAAATAACTGAAAAGTCCTCACTCTGTTTAATTGGCCGATGTTAGAAACAAAAATGAGTTTCAAATTTTTCAAGTTTTGTGCACTAGTTTTATGAAAAAAATATTATATTTGAATATTTCTTTATCTTCTCTTTAAATGCAAAGTATTGAAAACCGCTTTTATGAAAACACAGCTAAATATTGTTTCAAAGGACAGACAAAGTACATAATTATGTTCTTGATACTTAATGTCTACCTGATGCCTCAGAATAAAAATTCCATTCCACTTCAGTGATTGGTGGGTTTGAAGACTGAGAGGGAGGCTGGGTCTCCTGTTGAACTTTGAACTTTTCTATTTCTTCCACAAATGTATTTTCATCTTCACACTCAGGCACTGATAAGTAAATTAAATGACAGGACAGACCTTGTAAATTGATTTAAACTATGAATACTGTATATGATGTACCAATGGCCCATAAAAATAGCTTTTAATGTATGTCAATACTGTATTATTATCATCTTAATCTTAATATATATGGCTTATCAGAAGTATATTATCAAAATAAAAACATCTGTATTTGATGAAAACTTAAAAAAGGATATTATGCTTTATTTACATTCACTAAAAATTTTCTCATTTCTTAAATAAACCAATTAATTCCCAATATCAATGGGCACTTCCTTCAATGTACATTCCATCAATGGTATGAAACACCAATAACACATTATTTACCTTACTTTTACCCACTTTATACAATGTCATATATATTAAATATAAACAGTAAAGTGCCATTTTTGTTTCTTAACGCAGGGAATAACGATTGCAATCATTGCATGAAAATTTACATAATGTGGGGGAGTGGGGGTATTTTTTCTGTGATGTCACAACAGTTATCCCCGCATTAACAAAGAAAGGCATTTTATTGTTTACAACAAAACTTAATTTATCCTGTAAATATAACATAACATGAAATAGAAATAAGTTATTTTGAGTTTAGTTTCAATCCTTTGTGTACTTACATCCCCGGGATCGCCTGTCCATTTCAAACATTTGAACCAATTCCTCATCATATCCCAAAGAAACTTTGCGGATTCTGTTTTGTCTAAATTCTCGATGAAGTGGATCTCGAACAGGTGACATCAGGTTGTTCTCTCGAATGAACAAACAGCGAGGAAACCACCTTGCATGTTCCTCCCAAGGCTTGTCCTCTGGTTCCCAATTACGAAGTAGTCCTCCACACTGGAAGCACTTCACAGCATCACCCTTCTCTAAAATGACAGAAATTAATTGCATGCAATCATTGTCTTTTTTTTTAATTTAAGCTTTAACCATTTGATTTAAACATAGGTAATCAGAGATTACAGAGCTCACCTCAATGAATGTTGTCTTTAAGTAAGGCATAGTCCCACACTTAACTAATAATCTAGTAGATTGCATCCCTTAGATGCAACATTTTAATATGCAATTTTGGTCTGATAGGGCTTGCAGTTACTTGGGAATGGACTTATCTAAAAACTTAAAATTTGTCACTCATCCAGAAAATGCAAGTCAAATCCACCACCTGACAAAAGTTTGAGAGTGTTCATCCCTTGATGCATCATCCATGCAAGTTTGGTTTAGGAAGGGCTGGAAAGTTACACTGGAATGAGTCTGCTTTAAAAACTTTAACCTGGTCTATCATCTGGAAAATCTAGGTTAAATCCAGCATCTGAAGCAATGCTGGTTGTGTTCATCCCTTGATGCATCATTCATGCTAGTTTGGTTCACATAGGCCTTATAGTTCCTTGGTAATGGACATGCTCCAAAAAAAGTTTAACCTGTTCACTCATCTGGAAAATGTAGGTCAAATCCCGCATCCAAAGCAACTCTGGTAGTGTGCATCAACAAGCGTATATTCAATGCAAAGTTGGTTAGCATAGGGCTTATAGTCACTTTTGAATGAACCTGCTCCAAAAACTTTAACCTGGTCACTCATCCAGAAAATGTAGGTCAAATTCAACATCCAAAGCAACTCTGGGAGAGTGTACATCCTTAAATGTATCATTTCTGATTAATATAGGGCACAGAAATACTTGAAAAGAAATCTGCTCCGAAAATGGGACGCTAACGCCAACCCAGAGGGTATTATATAAGCTCCCCTCAATTTCGTTGAGGTAAGCTAAAAATAAATGACTTATAAACACAAATGTCACATTATCCTGTAAGCTGTCAGGTATTTGACTTCTTACCCGTGTAAAACAACCCAGCAGCAGCTAGTTCTTTTGGCCTCTGTTTCATTGCCTTTGGCCAGTAGTTTTTGTATGTATCCAATCTCTTAAGGTAATCCTTAAACTCCGGATATTCTGGTTGTACACTTGATAGGCAATCTGAACTAGGAGAGTACGGTATATTGGATGTCCTTTTTCCTAACACAAAGGGACAGTTCTTAGAATGTCGTCTATGCTCAGTTGCTACGTTATCTCCTTTCTGCCAAGAGCTCAATACAACATTACAGAAGACGCAACGAACCCTGTCACCCTCTCCTAAGTAGTAGAAGCCATTCTTTGCCAGGTCCTCTTTCTTTACAATAGACTGATAGCGCCAGTTTTGGAAACTTTCCCGACGATAGATCTCTGCCCTGTACACTAATATATGTTCTTGTTCATCATCACTGCAATCAGGTCTATTATTTTGATAGCCTGGCCCATCCACTACATCCTCTCTTTTCACCATGGTTCTAATAAAAATTTAAAAAAGACAAACTGTAAACATTATTCACTCATTCTAATCTATTATAAATACACAATCACCATTGTTGGGAACTAGTGGCGGTTTACAATTTCCCGTTTTCCTACAACAGACTAGCTGATCTACATCACATGAAATGATATCTACTAAAAAAAAAATTCTGATTAAATGACAGTTATGTTACTCCTAAAAACAAGTCTTAAAACTGACTTAACCATGTTAACCAGTTCTAGAAACACGTTTTGAAACAAATGAACACTTCATTTACTTTCTTCTGTTAATGAAAACACTTTCTTGATGAAAACGAAAGTAGATATGTAACGTTAAATTAAACAAAAGAAATACCCAAAAACAACGTCAACTTTGAGATTCCTGGTGATCTGTTCCGTTCTTTAGCATAATCTACTTGTTTTTGCTGACTGCATGCATAATCCACGTTTTTTGCGTCTTTAAAACTCCATGTAATTAAATAACAATAACAAAACCTAGATCCGAACTACTTTTGGTGCGTTCAGTTTTGTTCCATCCTGTTTGCAATTCTTCTTGAACTTGATAATTTTAAAAACAACTGTTTTTAAATAAGGCTTATTGGTGTATAGTATAGTTTTGGTTAAGCAGTTTGTTTTTCTAAATGTAGTGTGGCAAGAAGGGTATCATGGAAAGAAGAGAGTTCGCCTTTTTATAAGGCGGTAGCTGGTGAAATCGTACCTCACTTTCTGTTCAAAGAGTTCTACATATTCTGTATTTACTTATTTCAAATGCTTTATATTTCTATTAAAAAAAACTCCTCATTTTTTATTTTCATTTTTTTCCAAAGAATATTTTTTAAAATTAGAAATTTAAAATTATTGGTATTTTGTCGCATTTGGATGGTATACTATTTGTTACATGATCGTAATTCCCCCTGATGCCGTTTGACCTAGTTAAATTTTAAAGTATCCTAAGAGGTAAGTTATTTCTACTATTATAATAGTAATTACTCTTGATTGTTTTGATTATCTCATGTAAATATTACTGTTTTCTTAAAAAATACACTTATTCCGGAGTAAGCCGAGTTAGTACTGACATTCGAGACCCTGGCACTTAATTCCACAGGAGACCAGTGTCTTGATTCGGGAGCCTAATTAAAATAACTATGAAGAACTTTCTTTTGTAAGGGAAAGGAGAACATGTACCCAGGCCGATACATGTATATCCACGACCCAAACGATTACATTACATCCTGGTCACGGCACCAAATTACGCAAAAGGTAATTTTAAGGAGAAAATGTATTGCTGGACCGGGAATCGAGCCCGGGACCCCTGCATCACTAGTCAGGTGTTCTACTGACTGTGCAGTCCAGGCCTATATCCACGGTCCAAGCCATTGCATTTTGAAAAGACTTGTATGCACGGCATATTGTACAGAACTTGACTCGATCTATATTAATTTTGCAACATTCGAGGTTGCAAGCATTGCGCTAGCGTTTTAACATGTTTAAGAATAAGTTTTGAATTCGTGAATTCATAGATTTCGAATGGAAGAGTGAAACTGCTGGACTTCTACTCCCTTTTTTAAAATGAAACTATAGTACAAGCTATGAAAAAGTAGATTCAGGTATCAAGAGATCCTACTATCTCTTGGCACCTGAATCTATTTTAGAAAACTATGTTCTACATATCTTCATGCACTTTTGTGCAAAATATACATGTGGAGGTTGCCTACAGAGATGTTGAGGTTGCGTCTACAGATGTCAAGATTGCCTCAAAATAAATCGAGGTAGCCTCTAGAGATATCGAGGTTGTCTCTAGAGCTGTAGGGATTTATAGAAATGTCGAGGTTGGATATATCGAGGTTGCCACTATAAATGTCGAGGTTGCTTGATGTTGCCTCAATCTAGAGATGTCAATAAACGGACAATTAAAAAGTTTCGAACCCGGCTGCTCTTTAGCTTGCGAAGATTATTGCTTTTTTAAGTTGAAAGCTATCAGGATCTTACTTTAGATTTCGTTATATTTACAGATATGGCGACAGTAGTAAATGTAGCCTTGCGTGTGTTGTCATGGATTGTGACATTCATGTTTCTCATGGCCAGCCTTGTCAAAGTCTGCCCATTCATTGGGCAGCACGCGGAGATGGTTTGTTTCTTATAGGTTGTTTGTGATACAATGAATGGACTGTAAATTACAATTTTACATTTTTTACGGATATAATGAAGCAAAGAGATAATAATAACCATAAAAAAAACTTTTTTAAACATATAATATTTAAGTTAGCGATTATATCCTCTCTATTGGACAACGCTTTAAAAGAAAATATCAGCTGTATGGAGTGCTAGATATTTAACCACCTAGACCTCAGTTGAAGAAAATTCTTTATCATTATTTTTAATTTTATTATTGTTATTTTAGGCCAAGGAATTTGTGAAGCTCGCTGAAGTATGCCCCACTGCCTGGTTTGGTTACGTCCCTCCTTCTTACGTCTACATGGTGACCGTTGGAGCCTGGGAATTATTTTGTGTCATCGGACTGTTTACGACGGGACTCCGGAAAACGTGCTACGGAATACTGAGCGTAATAATGATCGGAGCTATGTACTCTCACATCGCACTCAATGATTACAAGGGATTACCGCCATCAGTGTTTTTATTAGTGGCGTGTTCTATATTGTTTTTATCTACTTCATCCCAGCCAGAGAAATTGAAAGCAAATTAAGAATGACCATCTGAAGAAGAAGATGTTGTATAGTGACTTGTAAGTAAAAACATGTAGAAGATTGATACTAGCTGCTACATTCGACATAAACCGTCTGATGAAAATAATGTCGATGTTTGACTAGTAGTGTATCTATATATATGACAAATACTCAACTGAAGTGTATAGGACTGTGCATATCCTTAAAAGAAAGGTTTCTTGCATATTTTAGCGAAGATAGAATAGTTTACCCAACATTAAAGGTGTAAAATGAATACAAAATAAAATTATTTTTACATAGTTCTTGTTCTTTACACAATCCAATTTTACAATTTGCCATCTATGTATAGGCAGACACACTTATTGGATGTCATATTATGGTGTGGTACACACATAATGAGAGCTTAGTTGGAATAGTCAGTGTTATATGAATGAACTTACCTGCCAAATTGTCTTGTGCTATCGTAGAGATGGTGAAATATGAATATTTAAATGGACAAGTCTTCTATAATGTCATGCGGTAGAAGACACATTTGTGTGAAATGGTAGATCTACATTTTCATGTGATACTGGTAGAGACAATCATATGAATTAGTGAAACATAATGACGTGATATCAATGGGGAGATCCTCCATATAATGCCATGTGGTATAAGTAGAAATAGAAACATTGTATTAATGGTTGATCTGCCATGGGAGGATATGTCATAAGATATGCCATCTACAGATCAGTTGAAACAGTCACACTAATATGAATGAACAGATCTGTCATAATTTGAATTTAGTAGAGACGGTTACGCTTTTATTAAACGAATGGTCAGATCTACCATTATGTCATGTGGTATCAATGGAGCAAGTGATTACATTGACTCAATTAAAGAAAAACCAGTCTGGTGCTTATGGATAACTAGGAATGGACATTTTTATTGAATTTCGTCCACTTCGTCCATCTAGTTTTGCAGTATCCTCTACGATTGTCGTAACCAACCAACTCCCATTTGACTAAACATTTGCTAACCTCCTGGGGCGATTTTGGGGAAGGGGACAGGCATTAGGCTAAATAATATACACGCAGGTAAAAACCAAAGACAAACTGGCCTTTTTCTTAAATGCAGCGTCTTTCGGTTGTACGACTTAAAAAGACAAATCCAATGCCATTTATTTCATAACAGCTTGACAAAGTGGCTTATAATGGTAGTGACAATATGAGCTAAAGGCAACTGGGTTATCACTTCTGGAGAAATGTAGTGTAGCGCATGTATTATCGGGATAACGGTCTCCATGATGAGTCACTTGAGGTACCGGACGACCAGACGTCTTCCAAACAAAGTTTCCGGTGTGGTTAGGATCAACGGCTCCAATAAGAACATAATTATCATCAACTATATAAAAAATAAAGAAGAAAAAGATATGCATGTGATCAAATTAAAGTCTCAACTTCTGCATCGGAAGGGGTTTGCATTTGAATATAACGGTATTTCAGATACTAGTTTATAAAGCCTCAAGTTACGTACTGACACCCCGGAGATCCATCACATCATGAACTGATAAATCCTCTGCCAATTTAGAACAATGGGACGCACAGAAAGCCTAAAATTAAAAAAAAATTATAGACATTTTAAGACGACGAGTGCTGAATTTCAAATGATATACATGTATTACTGTTTGGTGACTTTTGCGTTTACGTGGTATACCAAACAGGTTGGCTGTGTAATGCTACAGGAAGTGCATGTGTCGATCTGATATAATATTATTGTATACTGTGGCTATTTTGTAAATCTGACAAACCTGTGCTTCTGTAAAATTCAAGTTTTCATCTCCCACTAGGTAACAACGTCCAGCATTCAGCTCAAAACCAACTGGACAGTGATGGTCCTCCGACAAGTACAGACAACCTGAAAGTAAGTACAATGGTCGCTAATGCTTTATAGCAGCAGGTTGAAGCAGTTTTACACCCACACTTTCTAAAGAAATTTTGGGTATATTGTTTATATTCCGATGCGCCCGTCCGACCAACTGTCACATTATCTTCTTCCACGAACTTAAAAAGCAGTAGCCAATTTATTTTCTTAGTTTTGGATTATAAATAAAAGTGCCCTGTAGTTGCACAAGAAGGTTTCGGATTTCATTTTCATCCATGAGGTCAATTGGGGTTCAAGTCTGGTTCTTAAAACTCATTTTACATTTTATATACATCAGTCAAATTGTCTTTTGGAATATGATTGATGGTGTCTTGTAGATGTGCAATATATAGGGTTTTAGAATTTTCATCAAGAAGGCCAATTCAAGGCGAAAATTCAAAGGTAAACGCCCTTTCTGCACAAAAAATAAAATCTTTCAAAACTTCTTTTTAAACAGAATTAACGTGCTTCATCAAATTCTTGATTTCAGACTGGCAAAACTAACATTTGAGACCTACGAGGAATGTTCACCTGGGTATCTTATGCTCAATTTAATACATGTATACAGAAACTAATATTTATAAGAGTTCTATCCCATGGTATTCCTAGGGACGCATTTACTCGACCTTCCTCTTTAAAAACAATAATACACGTAATCTCTAAGTTTTTAACGCTATATAATAATATGATGTATTTTTCTATAAGCATTAATTTTCCTAATTCCATGCCTATGGCCATGGATCAAGATCATGCTTTTTTGAGTAAGAGTATATGGATTTTCATTGCAAATGTTTCCCTTTTATAAATATAGAGGATATTCAATGTTTTGTAGTTGGACATGGAATTTATTTTAGGAGTGAGACAAGATTGTTTTTTTTCTTCATATTTTAACTAGTATTTATTACCATTGTAAACATTGGATTTTAACTACATATTTTGAGAAACTGTAGCAGTGTTGTTCTCTGTGTCAGGATGGTTTATTTACTGTATATTATAACAGATCAGAAAGTATTTTTATAACACTCTTCGTGAAAGGAAGGAAAATATCGAGTTTTGTCGCACTTTTGATATTCTGTCACACTGTGACAGAATATTACTTTAATATTCTTTCACACGTTGACCGAACATCACTTTTATGCAATAAATAAAATAAGTATTTCACAATTGAAAATGTATTTTCACCTGATAAGCTAGTATCTGGAGTGGGGTGGACTAAAGCGTGATGGTTACACAGAGGCCCGTCACAACAATCCCCATTCAGGGACAACTCAAGAGGATCACTTCTCCTCCCAAATATATGAGCTGCCTGGTTATGAAAACTCGAGCATACCTGTAAAGAAATTATAGTTTCATAGGATGATTCAAAAATGATTTTACAAAGGTATTATCATCGTCATCACCAACACACGGAAAGAAACTTTGCTGCTATAGGAATTCAGCTTCGAAGCTCCATAGCATGACCAATTGAAAATCACTGGTACTTGAATTGCAAATCGACATTTTTAAGACAATGACACTTGGAAGTAAATAATTTCTTTAACACAGATATATACTTATACGTTCGGGACTTTATAGGCAAACTCCTTCCTACCAGCAGAGCCACCAATGTTCATAAACATTTGTCACGTTATACTAACGATCAATTACATTTTCGTGGACACATCCGAGTTTATACCCATGTTCTCCGGCAGAAGTTAGAGTTTCCAGTGTGTAGCATTTCTGTGAGTAAAACATTTATAATCTTAAAATTTATTGAAGTACTTTTGAATGCATAAATCAGATTACTTGGTATACAGTGAAATAGATACCTCTCCAGGAAGACAGCTGACTGTGTTGTTACACGTCTCTGTCTTGGTCACGTGGCTACACGAATAACAGCCAACTGTTAAATAGAGGCATAGGAAATATAACAATTTTATAAATTACGAAGGAAAGAAATTGCCTTTTTCCTTCATCTTGGTAGTTAGTACCTTGTTTATTGAACAAAATATGTTTTTCTTCCTAATTACGTCCTTTTTATCGGCTTTCGTAGCTTTAAGATACAGTAATTATTATTGAAGCTTTAAAATTACGTTTTTATCCTACAAAAATGTAGCAAATGCATGTTTGAAAGCAGTATTCATCTGCAAAATATATATGTATTTATGCTAAATAAAACCTAACATTTTACCGCAGTTTCCACAGGTTCTGGCGCAGGCTTTGGCAATACAAGGATCGGTGCACATACCCTGTTTGATTTTACTCAGTCTTAGACAGGCTGCTGAGTCTATATCAGTACATATCGCTGAAACATACATGTATAGCAACAACTAATATGGCGGCACACTATCTGTGCAGTGATTCCACTTCCTGGATTTACTATTCTTCTTTGAACTGTTTTTTTATCTCAATCTTCGAAAAACGATTATACTTTTGTGTAATCCGTGCATCTTCAAGTAAATCAGGTAAAGTTAGTTAACATCGATAAAAGCATTTCATTCTGATACACTTACAACTTGCATTGTTTGTTGCAACTTGCCGAATAGTCTTGGTTTCCCTCTTTTGCATTTGAGTGTTGCACAAATCCGTGTCGCAGCATTTGCCGTTCAGTGTTGCTCTTTTATCTGGTTCTTCACGTCCTATCACGACTAAAGAAGAGTCGTATCCAAAATTGTTTCTACACACCTGAAAATTTACTTTTGTTATACCTGTACAGGTGCAAATATATAGCAGGGGGAAACAAAAAAAAAATGAAAATATATATTTACATGCAGTATGAAAATCACAGTCTTGGGGACAGATTATTTATAGTAACATTAAGTTGATCGTTTATACACTCGGGTAAATTGACTTACATCAGTTGCTGCACATCCAAGTTTGTACACAAGAGAAAAGTCAGCCCCATATGATTCGGATATGACACATTTCTGTAAGCATATAAATTTGAAATATATGCATATACTAGTATATGGCAATGCTTTAGAAGTTTGAAAACAAAATAAATGTAATGCATTTTTGCATAGAATGTACTATACAAAATATTAATACCTCTGATAATGTTGCTAAAAATCTTCGAAATCCTTTTTTTTCAATAGAGGTAATTATAATTCTTTGATTTGCATTCTATGCTGCAATTGAACTATTGATGATTTTCAATTTTTCCACACTTTTTGATAAATATCAAAAACGTTTTTATGATCCTCCTTCCTTCTTTATCTAATGTTATAGATTGTATTATATATAGATTCTTACATGATCCAGACTTGGACAGTACCGCATGGCGTTATAGATTGTATTATATATACATGTAGATTCTTACATGATCCAGACTTGGACAGTACCGCATGGCGTTATAGATTGTATTATATATAGATACTTACATGGTCCAGACTTGGACAGTACCGCGTGGAGTTGCAATC